CATTGGCTGATACATCTTTAAATCTGCAGGATCAACCTCCATCTTTTTTTTTTTTTTTGCAGTCTTCTGTGAGGGCCAGTGGGCATGTAGAAGTCCTCCTAGTTCAGAGTTTGTCCACTGCATCCCCTAAAGTTATTTAACACTTCACTCTCATAGGTTTATCTTGAATTGGTTGTTATATCTAGAAACTTGATGAGATTTGGTTTCAATTTTTTTCCTGCAAAAATATTTAACTATAATTAGAAGATGGATAGTGTCTCCTTGTCTCTCTTTTTGTGATATTAGCAGCTACTGGTAATAGCCTATATTCATCTGTTCACTAGATAGTGACATTCTAATCCTATCAGTCGTCCATAATTTATTAGCTGGAATACATTATTTAAAAGAACCATCTCCTCACCAACTCTTACCTGGAAATACAAGTCATGAAATGATGATAAATGCTGAATTCTTTACCTATGAGTTTGGTTCCTATGAGTTCCCTGATAAATTTGTTCCCTAGCACCATTCAGAAGCGACGGATGAGATTTTGTCTTTTTAAGTGCCACTCTGAATTTATGCATTTTAGTGTATTTCTGGTTTCCCATCCATTGCAATTATTATTTTTAGTAAAGCCTAATTTCTCACATCTTTGACAACTGGAAGCCTATGCAAGCTGGCTTTTAGATCCGTTTTACTACCGGAGTTTGTAGTCTCAGAGAGATTCCTTGTTTATGACATGAAAAAAAAATATTCTAGATTTTTAAATTTTCTGTCCTAAAACTGAACCACTTCTGGAAAGAGTAAGGATTATTTTTATAGAAACCAATATTAAGAAATCACAGTCTGGAAGCTCTGGGTGCCCATTGTTGCTGCTAGGTTTCCATTCTCTTCTGGGCCTTGATTTCAGTGGGAAGAGGTAGGAAACGCACACCTCAAGTTCACAGTGATCCTTGTTTTCTTATTGAGGACCTACGGCTTTTTTAGTATCACCAGATTTACATCTGCAGCTATTTCCTGTTCCCCAGAATTCCAGTTTTCAATGACAACAACACAATTGCCCATTTGCTTTATTGTACAATAGTCTAAGAATACTAATGCAAATATTACCACCTACAATACGATTATTGTAACACGTTTTAACTTTTTATTGGAATTCTTTTTATCCTTAGGGTATTTTCATCTAGGAATGGGCCATCAAATTATTGTTTAAAAAAACATCAGGCATACGTATTTTCTCTCCATGGGTTAGAGATGAAGGTTCATTAKTTACTTGTTTACTTTTACAGACACTTTTAAAATCTATTTAGTTTTATAATTAAGTAAAAAATTTTCCATGATTTTAAAGTTGACTCAAAACAAGATAGAATTTTAAGTTTAGATTCTAGCTTTATTCCTCCATCCTGTTTCCTGTTCCCTCTCTCATCTAGTAGATAACAGCTTTTTTATGGTTTTCACTTTAGTTTTTCAGTAAACAAATTAAGACGGATTAATATGTGTGTAAGAGGAGAGAGAGAGGAAGAGAGAGAGAGAGAGAGAGAGAGAGAGAAAGAGAGAAACTTTCCTTTTTTAGACAAGTGATAGCACATGATACATGCATTTCTCCCTTAGAGAACAGCTCATCAAAGTATAGAGAATCACTGTTCCTATTTATAGCTGCACTGTGTCCTGTTGTATATATGTGCTATGGTTTGTTCAATCAACAAAATGAACATTTGGATTGTTTCAGCTTCTGCTATTATTGAATAAATAACCTGTGCCTGTCTTTTATACTGTTGTTATCTGCTAGACATAGCAAAGCAACTAGTTGTAAGCCCTTGAATTTAGGACATCTAACTACATGTAGTAGACTGTTCATTTTAATGGTTAAAGATTTTGAAATAATACATCCCTGAAGTTGTGATAAAAATGCCTTGAGTGTTGCTCTGTAAAGGAAATTCTTATGCACAGGGAAACCAGAACAGGATGGGACAGAACTAACTAACTAACTAAGAGTGCCGAGAGTAAGTTGTTTATCTTTAACTTCCTAAGTAATTCACATCCACCCCCAGGTGGTTCATCAACAGCATCTCAAGTTCATAGATGAGGAAACAGAAAAGTCACTACTTGTCTTGGGTTATAGTGGCAAATGTGGAACCAGAGCTCTATGCCATATCTGTCTGACACCAAATCCATGATCATCTTACTATATAATTCATTCATTTCTTCCTTATTGTTTAGTGATCAAGAACACACTCTGTGCCCAGTTTTGGAATTAAGTTCAAATTCTGGCTTCTCCACTAACTGGGTGTGAACTTATCAAGTTACCTAACTATGTTAGCTTGATTTTTTCATCTGACAAAGAAGGATTGAAAATAATATCATACTATTGGGGTTGCTGCTTGGATTAAAGGACCTACTGTTTCAATATTGCTTAGAAAAAAAGCCAGAGACATARTAAGTTCCACTCAAGCACTGGTTARTTTAAGGATTCTAACATATTTGTCAAACCAAACTAACCAATACAGATAGAGCACATGCTCTGTGCTGGACACGTCAGCTCAGGCTGCCCCAACCAATACCTCAGATGGGTAGACCTAGCAGAAATTTGCTTCTCATAGCTTTGGAAGCTGTAAAGTCTAAGATCCTGATCCAGCAGATTTTGGTTCCAGGTAAAGGCTCTTTCTGGCTTGCAGATGACCACCTTCTTGCTGTGTTGTCCCATGGTCCTGTCTTAATGGGTGCTCATGGAGAGAGAAAAGCAGACTCTGTCCCGTCCCTTCCAGTACAGGCAGTAACTCCATCACAAGGGCCCATCCTCATGACCTCATCTAGCCCCACTCACCTCCCAAAAGTTCCATCTCCAAATATCATCACCTCCTGAGTCAGAGCATCCATAGGAAGAGGGGGAGGGCACAATCATTCAGTCCCCAGCAGTAAGGATGTGACAAGTGAACAGGTGAYAGGACCGTGACTGCACAGCACCTGTGGTCTAAGAGAGGGCTCAGATATGGTCTAAAATCCCACAAATGAGTATAAAAACACAGGTGCAATGAGACTGGGAGGTAGGTGCACAGTCCAAGGGACCTAATCATTCTCTGATGGCTTAGGAACAGTCAATGCCTCCCATCACTTAGGCAGGCTGTTTCCTTTCTGAAGAGTGCTAGATCCTGGCCCACCTCCAGATATGTGTGGCTGGAGCCCGTACTCCCCAAGTTCCTCAGCTGCCTCTCTTTGTCTCCCATGAACTGCAGCTGGAATACACAGCTCGCCTGGACTTCCTCTGGCGCGTACAGGCCAAAGAGGAGATCAACGAGATGAAGGAGCTGAGGGAACACAATGAGAACATGCTCCGGAATATCTTACCCAGTCACGTGGCCCGCCATTTCCTGGAGAAAGACCGAGACAATGAGGTGAGCCCTTGCAAGTCTGGCTGGTTAAAAGGGGTCAGAATGGGCTATATAGTGTTGTTCCACTGAACCCATACCCTGGGAGAATTCTTCTATGCCCTTGTGAGGGCATGAAAATGAAGACCATACCTACCAATGGTGCCAGGCAGCCATGGCAGGCATCWTGTTACCTACACACCACCTCCCCTGGCCCCAAGCAGCTCATCAATTAGGCGGACATAATATCCTCATTGTAAAATTGAATTGAAATTTTTAAGTTTTATATGTGTGTGTTATGTATTTAAATATCTATGTGTACCTGAATATATATACATATATATAGCTAAATTATATATATATATATATGCACACATACACATATATTTCAGTCATAGAAAGTACAAATACTGTATGATTTCATTTATATGAGGTATTTGGAGCAGTCAAAATCATAGAGGCAGATTGGTGGTTGCCAAGAGCTAGAGGGAGGAAGGAATGAGAAGTCATTGTTTCAGAGACTCAGAATTTGTTTTGCAAGATGAAAAATGTTCTAAGATGGTGGTAATGGTTGCATAACAGTGTGAATGGACTTAGCACTACTGAACTATACAATTAATGGTTAAGATGGTAAATTTCATGTACATGTATTTTACCATAATTTTAAAATAATAATATATGTATGTAGACATATGCATAATGGATAAATATGTGTATGCACATATGTATTCATATATAAATGTAGGTGTGTGGGTGTGAGTATAAGTATTCTTAGCAAAATGTCYGGCATGTAGTGGATGCTCGAAAATGTATTTATGCTTAAAACTACTTTTTCTTATTGTGTCACACCTGAAGGGCCACTCTGTGAAGTCAACACAGAGTCTGAATCAAGGTGCCAGAGGCTACCATTTCCTCCCAGGTTTCAGGGGAAAATCCTTCCTTGCCTAGTGCAGCTTCTGATGCTCCTTGGCTAGTGGCCCCCATCACTCCACTCTGTGGCTCATCTTTACATGGCCCTCTTTATAATAACATGTGTCCTCCTCTCTTCCAAGGACACCAGTCATTGGACTTAAGAGTCCATTAATCCATTATAACTTCATCTTAACTTAATTACAGCTGTAAAGACTATTTCCAAATAAGGTCATATTCTGATGTTCCAGGTGGATGAATTTAGGAGGGGCATGCACCACTGCACCCAGCTACAATCCCAAATCTTTACTTCAAACTYTAGTTTGAAGAACAGCAACTTGGTAAAATGTTCTTCTAAACCTTATACTTTAAAGACTTTCGTACTCAGAAGACATGAAATATCTAATACACAAAGAAGCCAGTAACAGTACCACAATTACACTGATGTTTTTATATTAACAAACTTTAGCTTTTAAAGAAAAAATCAGACTCTATAATGTAGTATAATACTCTAAAATAGCAGACTCTATAATGTAGTGTAACATTATTGTTGTTTAACCAGAGTTGTTCAAACCCTAAGTTCCCTTAAGGCAAGTTGCTCTAAAGAATAAAATTTAAAAGACATAAATCATTATCTTGGCGCAGAGCACCCGCCGCTGCTCCTCCTTCCCGTCTGCGCTGAGCATCCGCCGAAGCTGCTGTTTTTATCATTCCTTTTTTACCAATAAGGTTACAGCATGCGAGGTTATGCATCTTGCAGAGGCACGTAAGAAGAGGTAGCACTAATTAGTAAAGCCCAAAATATCTACGAAGCTATTTCTTTTCMCAACAAAATATTGCTAGTCTCAAGGAGGTGAGCACACCACCTGGGAATTCTGGGTGGAGGAAGCATCAGGGCAGACAGCTTCTGTGAGACACGTCCTCCTGAACACACTGAGCTCCCAGGTGCAGCCACTGATGTGGCGTGGATGCCAGATTGACTTATTATTGTGGATGAACGTAGAAGACTGAAAACGAAGAATTGTGGCTCAAAGACGAATTATCGTAAGTGTCAAAGYTATGAAGTTTTCAACCCACCCTCAGGGTAGCAGCGTTCCAGAACGATAATGACAGTCTCTGCAAGCCTTCAGAGCTCTGGGTTCTAGAATGCACAGAATGGTACTTCCCCAGGATTGTTCTGGTTGAACCAATCACAAAGCAGGCCCAGATTTAAAGAATGAGAATAGGATGAGGCCATCAAAAGAGAGTCTAGAAGGAGAAAAATGAAAGGAAACTGAAAAGTCAGGAGTTCAGCTAAGAAATCAGGTGAGACATGAAGTCTATCTGAATCACCCGCTGAGATGTTGCCCAGTGCTGAGATGTTGCCCCAGGCGGGGTCACCCGTCGTGTAGACGCTGCCTTTGTGCAGTTGAGGGAGCTAGCCCCTGCCGCACAATGCGTATTTATATTCACGTGTGCCTGCTGTGGGAGCAGGGCCGGAAGATCATCATGATGAGGGGATCCCAGGGAACATTGGGGAAGCCAGACTCTCGAGCAAGTGTGGTATAAAATCAGTGGTCTAGGACATCTYGGAGCCCATCCACCAAGCCTCTATCAGTAGACGAGTCCAGAAGAAGGAACACCAGTCTTAAGCTCCAAAACAGCTCCGCCACCTCCCGAACTTCATCTGCTTCCCCCAGCCAGGAGGACTCTCCACCGCCACAGGCTTCGCCAGAACCCTCTTCACCAATGCCCAAAACGCAGCCAGAGTCAGATATGTCTCTCGAATCGCAGCCTCCCACGCCGCCCGAACCGGAGTCCAGCAACCGGCGCAAGAAGTATGAGCCTCCCGAAACCTGGGCTCAAAACCTGGGGCGTGATGTCCGCGACAACCGGAGCTCCCTGTCGCCRGACGCGCACAGCTGCGAATCCCGAGACTCGCACCACGGGCAGCCGCGGGAATATTCGCGCCCGACTCCCACGGAGTGGAAGGTCTATCCCCAGCATCAGCMTCGCACACCTTACCCTACCTCCATCCAGATGGATGTCGACTGTATGTTCGAAATGCAACAGCAGAAGCTGCAGGAGGAAGACGAGCCCAGACCCAAGAAAGGCATCACCATCGCTGTGTCATCTCGGGCACTCTTCAACATGRTGGATGACAGGAGAATCTACGAGGAAGAAGGTCTGGAAAAGTACATGGAATACCAGCTCACCAACGAGAACGTCATCCTGACGCCCGGGCCCGCGTTCCGCTTCGTCAAGGCCCTGCAGCATGTCAATGCTAGACTCCGAGATCTGTATCCTCACGATCAGGAGTTATTCGATATCGTACTGATGACGAATAACCACGCCCAGGTGGGGGTGCGCCTGATAAACAGCGTCAATCACTATGGCCTCCTAATTGACCGCTTCTGTTTCACGGGTGGGAAAAGTCCCATTGGCTATCTGAAGGCCTATCTCACCAACTTGTATCTTTCTGCGGATTTTGAAAAAGTCCAAGAAGCCATACAAGAAGGTATTGCCTCGGCAACCATGTTTGATGGGGCCAAAGATATGCCTTACTGCGACATTCAGCTCCGTGTGGCCGTGGACGGGGATGCGGTCTTCTTCTCTGGTGAGTCGGAGCAGACTGCCAAAGAGCACAGGCGGGACAAATTYTTCCAACACGAAACACTCTCTGAGAATAAGCCCCTTGTTCAGAGTCCCCTGAAAGGCTTTCTGGAAGATTTAGGCAGACTACAAAAGAAGTTTTATGCCAARGATGAACGGTTACTGTGTCCTATCAGGACCTACCTGGTTACAGCCCGCAGTGCGGCCAGCTCAGGGGCCCGCATGCTGAAGACKCTTCGCCGCTGGGGTCTAGAGATAGACGAAGCTCTTTTTCTGGCGGGAGCCCCTAAAGGTCCCATCTTGGTGAAGATCCGGCCCCATATCTTCTTTGATGACCGGTTGTTCCTCATTGAAGGAGCCAAGAAATTAGGCACCATCACAGCTCATGCACCTTATGGAGCTGGCCAAAAATACCACACTTAGC